CAGAATTCCTTGATTCAAGCCAGGATCTGCCATTTGGAGAGCTGAATCATCTCTTTCAATCTTCATTTCTCCCCATCTTTCCCCCATCCTACATATATGTATACAAGGTAACAGATATGAAAGCACTCGGAAAGCTGTCAAGGGCTATACCCTTATCATTGCCTTGCCCTACTCTGAAGGCCTCATTATAGACTTTACTATCCCTGCCACTCACATACTGATCATGTATAGTGTTGTCTCATGCTGTTATTTACCTATTTCACATGTGTATGTCGCATCTTCCCAGCCAGACAAGGCACCTTGAGGGGAAGGGCCTTGTCTTGCTCTTCTATTTCCCATAACAAAATGCTTTGAGCGTAGTACACGATTTAGCGTTTGTTAAGCTGATTTTCTGTGAACTGACTAGTTTTAAAACCCTGGGGAATTTGTTCTCTCAAAAAATCTGCTAGTAAATCAATTGGGAAATTCAAGGTTTTAAAAAAAAACCCTAATTTAAGCTTTTGAATAAATCCAAAATTTGAAGACTAGACTTGTTTAAAGACAGATACTTCTTAGGAATATAAAGACAGCTTCTAAGAGTCCTTATTTCTAAGGCTGTAGACACACGGTGAAAAAAGCAGATGGGAGGAGGCAAATGAGCGAGGCAATCCCAACTGGCTTGACATCGGCACAGGTTGCACGGCTGGAGTTGCAGCATGAAGTCTGCAGAAATGGGGCCCAGGGATCTGCAACTTCTGAATGGTCAGGACTTTCCCCTGGCTGCTTCCAGGTGCCAAGGGCCAAACAGTCCATTCTCCACTAGAAAAAAACTAGGTGATCCCCCCAGTTCCAGGATGCCTCAAGTGATGCTACAAACACACATACACACACACACGCACAAAGTCCAGGGACATCCAGCCCTAAACTGTCCCCCTATACAAAGTTCTGGGACTCTCCTTGCAATCTGGCCCTTTCCCACTGCTCCAGAAAACTTCCCCATTTGTCCCTCTACATACCCTGGTGCATCTCCACAAAAACCCTCTCTCCCCCGTGCCGAGATGCCCTCACAGCCTGCGCTTCACCCACAACCCAGGACAAACCTCCCCCTAACCTGTTCCCTCCCACAGAGCCCCAACTTCTTCCCTACACACACTACTGGAACGGCCCCCTCAATCTCGCCTCCCCCACATAACTCTCTCCCAAATTGCTCCCCCTCACTCTGACTGCAGACACTTCTCCAGCCAGCCTCCTCCCACTTGGCTGTAGGTGGTCTCTGAAATGGCCAAGGCCTATGTCCTCTCTTGAAACTGGGGGTACCCCCACAGCTGTTCTTGTCCCTGACATGTCTAGAGCATTCTCAAAGGCCATTTCTTCCCCCACAGACCTTGGACAACTCCATAACCTGGTCCCGGGCACATAGGTGTAAGATGCCCCCACAGCCTGGCTGCTCCCGGCCAGTCCCAGAATATTCCTACCACCTGTCTCATCCTCTGAAGCCCCCACTCCCCCTGTGGACTGTCTCCTCAGCACCGTCACACCTGAGACACCCACATCCACTTCTGCTCCCGAGGACCCAGTCACCCACACTGCAGCAGGTGTGCGCCCTGCCATGGGAGCTCCTACAGCTGCAAGCACCCCCAGAGGCATAGGTACCCTCCCGGCCTCGGGAATGGCTCCACTGTGTCTCCTTCTCCACAGGCCTGAGACACCTCCAGAGCCTGTCTCCCCTTCCACAGGTCCAGGAACCCTGGCAGCTGTGGGCCCTTCAGTAGCCAGTCTCCTTGCCCATATGCCTGAGCAGTCATCCCCAGAGCCGGTATCCCCTACCATCGGCCCAGGGAGCCCGGGAGCTGTGGGCACTCCCACAGCCATGGAACCTCTAGCAGCTACAGGCCTCCCAGCAGTCTGCCTTCTTCCAGACAGGCCAGAGACACGCTCAAAGAGGGTCCCCTCCCCCACAGAACCCGGAAGCCCCACAGCCATGGACAATCCTGTAGTCTGTCTGCCTCCCAACAAGCCTGAGACACCCCCAGAGCCAGTCTTCTCCCCCACGGGCCCAGGCATTCTGGTCGAGGTGGGCACCTCCATCTTTGTGGGACCCTTGGCATCTGCAGGTCCACCCACTGTCTCTCCTTTGCCCCACAATTCTGAGCCAGTTTCCTCTTGCACAGGCCTAGGCACCCTGGGAGCCACGGGCACCCCACTAGCTGCAGAGAGCCCCACAGTGCCAGGCATTCCTGCAGTGTGCTGCCTCCCTGACAAGCCTGAGAAGCCCCCAGAGCCAGGCTCCAGCTCCACAGAACCAGGCGCCCTAGCGGCCAGAAGCACTTCGGTGGCCACAGGAGTCCTTACCCTCTGTCTCCGTCCCCAAGGTCTTGGGACACCCCCAGAGTCAGTCTCTTCCCCAAGCCCAGGCCCCTCAGGTGCCACAGAAACCCCAATAGTCTGTCTCCTTCCCCATGGGCCCGGGAAGGCCCCAGAATCACAATCCTCCCCGCCAGACCACAGCTCCTCCCGATCCACAGGTGCCCCTGAAGCCAGAGAGATTCTGGCAGCCCGAGCCCTTTCCCACAGGTTCCAAATGTCTCTGGAGCTGCCTTCTTCACACACAGGGCCAGACGCCCACACAGCAGCGGGCACTCCGGCAGGCGCCTTTCCAGAGCCCGGCACACCCAGCGCCACGGGGACCCTTGCTGTGGCACACCTGTGCTGGGCCACATCTGCTGCCCTGGGTATGCCCACCGTCTCAGACCCCCCCACAGCCTGCCTCCTCCTACACAGACATGAAACAACTCCACAGCCAGCCTCCTGATCCACAGACCCAGGGACCCCTAAAGCTGGAGGCCTCAGACTCTCTGGCTCCCCCACAGCCTGCCTCCTCTCCCACAGGCTCAGGACATTCCCACCACAGGTCTCCTCTCCAAGCCCAGGCACTGCCTCGGCTGGGGGCTCCGCAAGAACTTGCTGTCCATCCCACAGGCCCAGGGCCCCGCTGTGGCTCAGCTCTTCTCCCAGGGCTCCAGGTACTACCACAGCCCGGGGCACCCCTACCACCTGTCCCGCTCCCCACAGCCCTGGGACATTCACACAGCCCGTGTCCTTCCCCAAGGCCCTGGGTACCCCTGTAGCCTGTTCTATCCCCCACAGGCCTGGGGCACCCCCAGAACCTGCTGCCTGCTCCCCAGGACATGATGGCTCTGCAGTCTGTGCAGCTCCCCGTGACCCTGGATCACCCCCAGAGCCTGTCTCCACCCATACAGGCTGTCCCCGTTCCCCGAACCCTGGGTCACCTCCACATCTAGTTTCCTCTTCAGTAGCACAGGGCACCCCAACAGAGTGTCCCGTGCCCCACGGGCCGGGCATACCCACAGAGTCTGTCTCCTCCCCAGCCTGTCTCCTGTAACACACACCTGTGGCACCCACAGAAGTAGGCTCCTCCTCCACAGCATCGGACACCCCCACGGCCTGTCCCCTCCCCCATACGCCAGGGGTGGCCCCACAGACTGCTTCATGTGCCAGAGCCCCAGGAATCTGCGGGGAATGTCCTCTCCCCCACAGCCCTGCAGCACCCCCGCAGTCGAGCTCTCCCTCCACGGCTCTGGGCGCTCCCACAGCCCCAGGCCACCCCACGGTCCCAGGCTCGCCCACAGCCTGTTCTTTTTCACAAGGGCCTGGGACAAGCCCATAGCCTATCTCCTCCCCAGTCCCAGGAACCCCCACAGCTTGTCCCCTCCACAGGTGCGGGGCCATCTCAGAACCTGACGCCAGAGCCCCAGGCACACTCACAGGAAGAGGCACCCTCCCAGCCTGTCCCTGTCCACAGAAGCCTAAGGTTCTCTCGTAAGCTGCCCCTAAGCCCAGAACTGTAGGCCCTGAGGGGGCCCGAGGGATCCCCCTTGCCTGGCCCTTCACCCAGGGCCCTGTAAGACCACCACGGCTTGTCTCTACCCAGGAAGCTCGGCCAGGAACACCCCTTTCGACAGGTCCCTCTCCGACAGGCATGGGATGGAGCTCGACTCTACTTCCTTCCCCACATCCCGAGGCGGCCCTCATAGCCTGCACCTTCAGCCACAGGTGCAGAATGCTCTCATGGCCCAGAGATCCTGGGCGACCTTTTCCCTCGCAGCCCCGGGGACTCCTATCTTCAGCCTCCTCCTCCCCAGACCCGGTCACCCACACAGCCCCGGCAGGCCCCACCACCTCGGGCTCCCCAACAGCCCCATTCACCCACACAGCCCCAGGGTCCCTTGCAGCCTCGATGGAGCCTGGGGGCCCAGGAGCTCCCAAAGCCTCATTCGCCCCGGCGGCGTCGGCTGTCTCCGCTGCTTGTCTCGTCCCCCACGGGCGCTGACAGCCCTGCGGCCTTTCTGCACTCACACAGCGTGTCTCCCACTCCAAGGACCTCGCCCGGCGCCTTACTCCACGGCCTCGGGACGTCCCTGCGCCCCGTCTCTTCCCCCACGGCCGCCGAACTCCCCGCCCCGACCTGCTGGGCCCCACGCAGCGACCCGGCATCTTAGCCGCCTGCTCGCCCCGGCGCAGCCTGGGCAAGGCCCCACGGCCAGTCGCCCGGCTCATAGCTCCAGGGCAGTTCCCTTCCTCCCTACCGCGGCCCTGGGTTGTCTTAGCACCTCGCTCCCTAAGCTGCTCCACACAGGCACTCACACACTCAGCTCCGGCCTCGCAGCCTTTCTCCCTCCCAGCCCCTCACCCATCCCACCCCCGCCCAGTCTCGGGAACCCGCCCCCAGTCCCAGGCCCCCCTAAAGCCTAGACGGCAGAAAAGGTAACTGGGGGGAAAAAACAACAAAGGCTTTCCGAGTCAGATCTCCTCTCCCGTAGGTCCATGACTCAAAGCAGTTTCCCAGAATCCCCCCCTAGTCCCATCCCGAGCCCACCTGGCTGGGACGAGGCGCCGCTACCGGGAAGCGGGCAAGGGGGGCCCCAACTAGGCCGCGCTTCCGGCCGCCAGCCCAGTCGCCATAGCAACAGGCGCAGGGCGGCTCGGGAGCCATTGAGACGCCGAACTACTGAAGGATCCAGGTGTCGCCAGGCGTTAAGTTTTGCAGCCAGTGTCCATGGGGTCGGAGCTGGGACTAGATTAGGGTAGAGGCCTGGGCTTGGGAGTGCAGCGAGCGCAGAAAAATCTGAGAAACTAGAGCAGAAAGCCATGTGGATGGATTGTGGTCCTCAGAGGTTCCCGTACCTTCAGCGGCGCCGGCTTCCGCAAGCTCCCCCGTCTCGCCCATCCGGAAACAGCCTCGCCCCGCCCACGTGGGCCCCGCCTGCAGCAGCCAGACGTGCACTCCTCCAGCAGCTGCTGCACGTTGTGCCGATGGCCCGCTACGAGGAGGTGAGCGTGTCCGGCTTCGAGGAGTTCCACCGGGCCGTGGAAGAGCACAATGGCAAGACCATTTTCGCCTACTTTACGGGTTCTAAGGACGCCGGAGGGAAAAGCTGGTGCCCCGACTGCGTGCAGGGTGAGGCCGGGATTCGGGGGCTGCTGTCCAACGGAAATGGCAGGAAGGCCGAACCTACGACCAGAAAGGGGGCTTAGCAGAGGCAGAGTCTTGGTTCCAGACATCCGCGGGGCAATCTAAGCTGTCCCCATGTCAACTCCTATTAAATTCTACCCCGTCCTGCCAAGATCGCTCTTCCTTTTACCATTTAACCCGGATGATCTTGGAATCTAGTTCCTTAAAACTTCCCACTCCCCCAGTACCATTAGAGTCTTACAGGATACGTGAGTTGGTCAGCAAATACATGTGCTTTCCATTGTTATGGGCGCGGTGGTGCGGGGGCAAATCGGGACTGGGATTTGGTCCTTACCCTTAACGTGGCTCTAAGACCAGAAGTGAACACCTGACTTCTGTTGACCTCTTCAGTTAGCTGCAGGTTAAAGTCTGAGTACTTACCAAGACTGGGGGAAGGGGAAAAGAACACTGTTTATCAGTGCCTGATTCTGGAGTTGATGTGCGATTATTTTATCTCAACTTTTTTTAAAGCTGAACCAGTCGTACGAGAGGGGCTGAAGCACATCAGTGAAGGATGTGTGTTCATCTACTGCCAAGTAGGAGAAAAGCCTTAGTAAGTGGCAACGTATAATCTACTTCACAGACATGCACAAATTGCAAACTGAGGCGGGAAGGGCCTCAGGGATGCACCCAGTTTCTGTGTTATAAGGCAATGTCTCACAAGTTAAACAATTAGAAGCTATTAAATACAAATTTAAAATGCCCACCTGAATTAAGTAGGGTAATTCAACGAATTTGGTCTGGTGTAAGCTCAGAACTTAGCTGGCTTTACTTTTATATCTTAGTCACACTTTAAAACTTTGCACAGGGTAATTAACAAATTAAGCCATAGTCCACAAGGTTTTTTAAGTGTTTGCAAGAACAGTGATTACTAAAAAATTAAATGTAGGAATATGTCAAATATTAAGCAAACCGTAATAAACCAAGTAAATTTTTTTCATGATCACTTTTTCTTTTGGAACAGTTGGAAAGATCCAAATAATGACTTCAGAAAAAACTTGAAAGTAACAGCAGTGCCTACACTACTTAAGTATGGAACAGTAAGTATCTTTAAATATGCTGGGCCTGTAATTCACTGTCAAAACTTTTAACTTGCTGTGGATCCAGATTTGAAAAGATCTTGACATGTCATCTCAATTCCATTGCTGTTGAGAGTGCTGCTGAAAGTTCATTCCTATGGCCAATCCCAATACACTAATAATGTAAATATCTAGCTATTAGGTCTTTTTCATGTTAAGTCACTCTTTAAAAATTCTATAGCCAGAAAGTAGGTTGACTCATAATTCCTTAAAACACTGGCATCAACAGTTGTTTTCTATTTAATTCATAATTCTGGTTAAAAAGTAAGGGCACCTCTTCTAGTTCAGTCATGCCCCTGGGATCCTAAATTAAAGAGTTGAGGGGAAGAAGAGGGCACTGGGCTTGCTGTTTCCTGTTTTAGTCTGTGGAGCTTCCTGGTATTTGGGGTTTAAGTCTCTTCAGCCAAGTATGTTAGTGATTCATCTTACAGCAAATATCTTGATTCTTTCATAAAACTTGTTATAACTAGTTGATAGTTCCTGAATTGCATAATTTCTGTGTTCAAAGATTAGTGTCATTCAAGGCAGAACCTATTCCACTCCTAATAACGTTTTATAGGAGTAGTGAAGATTTGACTGTTCTTCTCTTACAGCCTCAAAAACTGGTAGAATCTGAGTGTCTTCAGGCCAACCTGGTGGAAATGTTGTTCTCTGAAGATTAAGATTTTATGATGGCAATCATGTCTTGATTTCCTGATTTGTTCTAGTATCAATAAACTGTATATTGCTTTGAATTCATGTTAGCAATAAATGAGGTTAAAAAACTGGCATGTGTCTAAACAATAGAGTGCTATTAAAATGCCCATGAATCTTTAGTTTGCCTGTAATATATGGATATAAGATATATACTTGTTTATATAAGATATAAACAAGTCTTCAGAAGTAGCAGTAAAGGCTCAAAGGAATGTATCATTGAAGGTGACGGAAATACCTAAAAACTCCTAAAGGCGCAGAGCACACCTTCCAAATCTTTCAAAAGATCAGGATCTTTTATTTTAAATTCTCTGCATCTGCAAAGCAACTGATATTCCTGAAACCCCTTCTTTGATTTTGGAATGTAGAACCTAACCTCACCACTGAAGGAAAGCATATTACCTCTGATCCAGCCTCTGCTTAATTCAGGCAGTTTTGTTTTGTTTATGAAAAAGCCGACTCCTGAGCACTAGAGGCAGTTTGTTTTACGGCTCTCTCAATGTGCTTTACTTGGGAGAAGGCAGATGGCGGAGAGCGGCTGGAGAGACTGTATTACCCAGTGGTGGGAAGAACTCCAAGCTGGAGTCAGTCACACTGATTCTACCACTTACTAGCTGTGTAACCACAGGCAAGTTACTCGCCCCATCCAAACCTCAGTTTTCTCTTCTATAAACAAGGTTCTGAGAATAAAATGAGAATTCAAGGAAGCACTTAACATAGCACCTGGTATGTGGTACCTCCCAAATCAATGTTAGTTTTCCCAAATGAGCACAAGTATTTGAGGCTCCTCATGTTTGTTCTCAAGTCAAGAGTCCAATTAGTAATTAACCACTAGTTGTCCTGCCATGACTAGGTCAAATGAGGCCACAGTGATTCTTAAAGCCACCTTGCAAAGCAGGTAATACAGGTATTTCCTGTCCTGCAGAATTTAAGAACCTTTATGCAGTTCCTATCCTGTGACTTAAAGAGGTCACTGACTCCGCTACTCTCACTACATAGATAAGAGTGGTAGAGTAGTTGATCTGAGAGACAGTAAGGTTCCAGGAGATGGCCTTGCGCTACTATATGTCAGGGAGAGCTACCCTTAGAATTCAGTATACTTGGTGGCCCACCCCTACCCCATGCCCCAGTGCCTCATTTGGTCTAAAGCACCTAACTTTTCCATTCTTAATCAGCTGATTATGCTAAATGCATAAAAAAGAAAACACCTTACAAATCCACAGGGAAATCAAAGTAGACCAATTCAGGTTTAAAAGAAATAGTCTATTAACAATAAAAAGTTGGATTAAAAAGCACACTAAAGGTTCTAGGGGCTACCATAATAAAGGTATTTTGTCTTCACTGTACAAAAGAAATACATTATATACATGTATTGAGAGCCTCATCTGTATCCGGTTTTTCATTTTCCCGACGTGTTATTTTGCTGCTGCTGCTCTGCCAAGGCTTGCTGAAGGCGCATCCGCTTCCGGGAATAGTGCTGCCAATGTAGAATCTGCTGTTCATCAATGAATTTCGCACACTGAGCATTCACCAGCTCCTTTCGGAAGTGTTCGTATTGGAGCAGCTCTAACATGTGTAAACACTGAGGGTACCTGAGTTTAAGTTTATAAGTAAATGAACAACATAATTTGAGTAAATAATGCCAAGGTCTAATTAAGTTATTCTCTTAAAAATGATCTTGCAGCCTACCATTTCTTTAATAGTAACTTAGTACACACTGGTAGCATAGGGTGTTTTCCCTGATTGGTCATCAAAGGTCAGTGTTCAGCAATATTTTCGAAAGTGAGAAGGTTTAAGTTCAGAAAGATTAAATTTAAACTTGCTCAGGGCCACACAACACAGTAACTGGTAAGCAGAGTGAAAATGTAGGGACAAACCATGCTATTCCCTTCTAGTGGTTTCCAACGTGAAGAACATGAACATATTTTACTAATTCTGTGTTTAATTGATAGTTCTTTGTTTTCCTATCAATAGTGATAAAAAGACAACTTTCATTTAAAAGTGAGTTGGTTTGAAAGAGAACTATGCACATACATTATACTCTTGTTGTCCACAGGGATATACCAACTCTGAAATTAGATATACTCTAGGATTGGACAAGTAAATATACTGTGGATAAGGACAGCCAAATTTCTGGCTATCAGAAAAGGAGTTATAGACAAGGAAAGGAAAAAGGCTAGAATGAATCCTGTGTTACTGAGCTGGTATTGAAAACATTAGTATGTACTTAGGGTTTTTAATATAGGTAGACAGGATAAACAGATGTATACATGTGTGCATGTATACACATACAAACATAGAGTTCTTGAGCTTTGTGTACTGAGAGGGCCTAGAAACAATGACACTGTGGTACTAATGAACACACAATGTCCAGATTGTGGTATCCAAGGAGCAGGTTTCCTTGGAGAAAAGGGTGATTCAGGGATAAGAGAGGGAAAGTACAAGATGAGCCTGGAACATTACGTAGTGCCAGAAGAAAAAGTGCTAAAAATTATTGGGACGATCAAAAGTATTCAGGAACCAACTTGAAGGGACTCCCAGTGGCCAAATCTAGAATACTCAGAGCAAGAAAATACATAATTCTAATTCACAGGATAAAAATAAGAATCCAAAAGTCCATACTAAATGGATGTAAATTTCTTTAATAAAATAATAAATAGAAAACAAGGGAATGTACTGCCTTACAATCGAATTCCAAACTAATAAATGCAGAATGACAGAATTCGAAAATCACAGTAAAAAATGTTTCAAATAAATATCTTCAAAAGATGCTAAAATGGGCATGTAATATGATATTTACATAGTCTCAAAGGATTTCCCCATAAGATACTTATTAAATACATAAGGAAAAATAGTAACTTAATATGGAGAAACCTAGAAGGTACCACCCTCAACCAAGTTATCAAAATTAATGTCACCAGTAGTGGGACAAATAGACTTCATGTGACTGCAGATACATGAAGGATACAAAATCATTTCTGTCATAGTCATGGAAAAGAAAAGACCACTGAGATGAAAGGAGACTAAGACGTGACAGCAAAATGCAACATACAGGCCTAGACTGGATCCTATACTACATACAGCACCCCAGCAGGACAACAGCCTAGACTGGATCCTGTACTACATACAGCACCCCAGTAGGACAACAGCCTAGATTTGATCCTGTACTACATACAGCACCCCAGCAGGACAACAGGCCTAGACTAAAGCCCATACTACATACAGCACCCCAGTAGGACAACAGCCTAGACTGGAACCTGTACTACATACAGCACCCCAGCAGAACAACTGGCAAAATGTGAGTGAGGTCTGTAGATTAGGTAACAATATTAATGTGCTGATTTTTGCTGATTGTAGTGTTAGACATTTGGAATATCTGGGTGAAGAAAATACAGGAATTATCTTTACTATTTTTCCAGCTATTTTGTAAGTGAAATTATTTCAAGTTGAAAAGACAAAAACTAACTGAGACAATTAAAATACATTAAAATATAGGAAGTGTGGGGAAAAGAGAGATCAGATTGTTACTGTGTCTATGTAGAAAAGGAAGGCATAAGAAACTCCATTTTGATCTGTACTAAGAGAAATTGTTCTGCTTTGAGATGCTGTTAATCTGTACCTTTAGCCCCAGCCCCATGCTCACAGAAACATGTGCTGTATTGAATCAAGGTTTAATGGATTTAGGGCTGTGCAGGATGTGCCTTGTGAACAATATGTTTGCAGGCAGTATGCTTGGTAAAGTCATCGCCATTCTCCATTCTCGATTAACCAGGGGCACAATGCACTGCAGAAAGCCGCAGGGACCCCTGCCGAAGAAAGCCTGGGAATTGTCCAGGTTTCCCCCGACTGAGACAACCTGTGATATGACCTCGTGGGAAAGGAAAGACCTTACAGCCCCCAGCCCGACACCCGTAAAAGGTCTGTGCTGAGGAGGAGGAGTGAAAGAGGGAGGCCTCTTTGCAGCTGAGATAAGAGGAAGGCTTCTGTCTCCTGCTAGTCCTTGAGAATGGAATGTCTCAGTGTAAAGCTGCCCATTCCCATTCATTCTATTCTGAGATAGGAGAAAACCGCCCTGTGGCTGGAGGCGAGATACGCTGGCAGCAATACTGCTCTGTTGCTCTTTGCTACACTGAGATGTTTGTGGAAAGTGAAACATAAATCTAGCCTATGTGCACATCCAGGCACAGCACCCTTCCTTTAACTTATTCATGATACAGATTCCTTTGCTCACATGTTTCCCAGCTGACCTTCTCCCTACCTGTTGCCCTGCTACACTCGCCTCACCAAGATAGTAAAAATAATGATCAATAAATACTGAGGGAACTCAGAGACCGGCGCCGGTGCAGGTCCTCGCATGCTGAGTGCGCCGTTCCCCTGGGCTCACTGTTCTTTCTCTATACTTTGTCTCTGTCTTATTTCTTTTCTCAGTCTTTGGTCTCTGCCTGACGAGAAATACCACAGGTGTGGAGAGGCAGGCCCCCTTCAGGAAGTAAGCAGATAAAGTCAAAGTTGCACAAGTGATATGCAAATGACTCAAGTGTGGAAAATAGGATACTACAGCAATGATTCTAAAACTTGAATGTGTATATGAACCACTTCTTAAAATGCTGATGGATTCCTTAGGCCTGGAGTGGGGCCTGAGCTCTGCATTTCTAAAAAGCTCCCAAATGAAACCAATGCTGATGATGTGAACAACACATTGAATAGACGGCTTAAGACATGCTTCTAAGATAGTAACTTCCAAGACAGTAAAGGTTTGCTATCTACGCACTAAAAATACACAGTTGCTCTAATTGTTGGTTGCTTATGCTAGAATGCTCTATTCACACCTGCCCTGGCTAACTCCCTTTCATGACAGCATTAGCAGTTAAAATGAACCAGGATGTAAGTTCCAGCCGGGTGGCCTTTAACAAGGTACTTAACCTCCCTAAGGTTCAGTTTCTTCAACTGTAAAATAATGTGACAACCAAGAGAATGGTCTCAAGCAGCATTTAGTCAGTAACTAGAATTCAGACATGCAGTGAGTACATCAGAATACATTAGATGACAACAGAGAATCGTACTCTGATAGGCTACATGTCAACAAGATGAAACGGCAGCAGTATAAAAGGGAAGTTCCGCATTTGGTGTTTTTAAAAATAAACAAGATAGGGAGAACACTGATGAAAATAACTGAAGGATTTTAATGGACATAATGCTCCCAGCAAGTCAACAATGTGATCCTCTCCCCACCCCCACCCTCAAAAGTAACATAAACTTAAGGTGAATTAATGGAGGTATATGTCCACGGGAAGAAAAGAAAGGACCTCTGGCCCACTGTACTCTGACCACACATGAAGGCCTGTGTTTAGTTCTTGGCTGAACTGCATCAAGTACAACTGCCAAACATCCAGTGGAGGGAGCATGAACTCCTGGACACCTCGGCACCACGGCTGAGGGCAGTTGAGAAAAACAGATGGAGAGAGATGTTACAGTGACACCTACTGGCTGTCAATGGAGCAGGCCAAGTGGTAGAAAGTGTCTCTTCCGCCAGGTGGAAAGTAACTAGTAGTGACAGCTGCTCTCAGCTTCAGCCAGTTGTTGACTTGGGAGAATTAAGATCTATGGTTACTAGATCTTCCAGATTTGAAAGAGTAGCGGGAAATCTGCATTTGTTATATAAAACTTTCTGATCTTCAAATGTTGGCAAGTATTAAAAAAAAAAAAAACTAAAATCTTCTGCAGACTGAATGCCCAAAAGGGGTTAATCTGCAATCTCTCTTGAATGTAAGTATCTGGAAGGTTGTTGTCCTCAAGAGGGTACAGAATGGTTCTAGCTCAATCCAGGGACAACCAAGTTATCAAAATTAATGTCACCAGTAGTGGGACAAATAGACTTCATGTGACTGCAGATAGATGAAGGATAACACTACAATCAGACTAGAGCTACAAGGAGAGACTTTATATCACAATATAAGGAAGAACTTTCTAACATCTGGCTAACAATCGAATCAGCTGTCCCTGACAGAGTAACATAGGTTCAATGAAAACCTCCAGAGTGTAGATGACCATCTCTCAGCAACGTTGTGGGTAAGATTAAACTTGTTGGTGGCTAAGGCTTCCAACACTGAGTCTGTAAATCTACATACATACAACATTCGTTGAAATCTATTTTTCTTAAAAGTCTTTTCTTTGGATTATTAAATGGATAAAAAGCCAGAAAAGGTGCAAAGGGTCCTGCAGGCAACATAAGATGTATATGCTTCGTGAGTCAATTGTTATTGGACACAGAAAAGTGACTTCAAAACAAGTTTGAAACATTTTCCTCTCAAACTTTTTTTTTTTTTTTTAAAGGTTCACTATTGCTTTCTACCTGCTTAAGACAAAGCAGGGATGAGTTCAAGGTGTTTTTTTTTGTTTGTTTTTTTTTAAATCATTAAAAGGGAATAGGTTTGTGGTTATATGCTTCTTGCAATTCAGTAAGCCTTAACATGAAAGTGTCTGCTGAATGACCTGAATGGTAAAAAAAAAAAAAAAAAAATATATATATATATATAAAAATAAGTTAATGCATATGAAGCATTTAGCACTGTTTCTGGCACATAAGAGGCCTTAAATAAAAGAAAGCAACTCTAAGACTCAGGTTAAGATCACCTCCTCCAAATAACCCCAGAAACACCTTCCTTACAGATACCCTCTTTTAATTTCAGCCCATGGCTTACGTCACTTCACTTACAGACTGTGAGTTCTTCGGGACCAGAAACCTGGTGAGATGGGGAGGGTGGTGAAAGACAAGGTCAGACAAGGCAGGGCCAGATCATATAGGGCTTTAGCCCAAGAAAAGAGACTGGATTTTATTCTGCATGGTATGGAAAGTCATTGAAAGGTTCTAAGCAAGAAAGTAAAGTGTTCTGATTTATATTTTTAAATGATTAAGTTGGTTTCTGTGTAGAAAGCTGTTTTGCTTGGTTTGGTTTGGGGTGGAGAGGTGGGCAGGAAGGTAAAAGTGGAAGCAGAGATAACCAGGGAGTAGATTACTGCAGTGATACAAGTTAGAGATGAGGGTGTCTTGTATTAAGATGGTGACAACGAAAAGAAGTGGAGAGATTCCAAATACATTTTTGCCAATGTGAAACGAAGAAATATATTATATCATAAAGTATACACATGCTTAGGATTATAAAAATTAAACTTACTTTAGATACTTGGCATATTCTGGGTCTTTCCAGTAAAGCAAGTATTTAAGATAATTAACAAAAGCTTTGTCTTTGAAGTAACCTCTTTGGGCAAGAACTGAAAAGCATTAAAAAAAAAAAATGTCTGTAGGTCAAACCAATCTTTAAACTATGCTTTGTTACCCCTAATGTAAAGGATCTATTTACATAAAACCCCCACCACCAACACGCATTGAATTCAAAACACAAATCCCAGTGCGCAATTATATCTATATACCAGCGTAAGTGTAATGTCATTCAATTGAGAATGTGTAAACGTAGATACTATTTTGAATTGCAACTCTTCTGTCAGAAATCATTAATAGCTACTCAATTTAATGAGGTGCTTAACAACTTACAATTAAGGTAATTTGGGTTGGCTAAACATTGCACAAATTCCAACTCCAACTGAAACCGAAGTCGATTTCCAGCATCATCTAGGAGACAAGACAGCAAAAATCATGGAAAGTAAGGGTTACTGCATATAATACTGATTTGTAGTAAGGAAAGAGCAATAAAGAAACCTGACTAATGCTGAGATAGTCTTCCTAAACTGGGAGTGGGGAGAGATAAACCTTTCTTCGAAATCTAAGAAAAGCGGAGCCCTGATTAAAAGGCGTTAGAAGTTTCTCCAAAATTAAAGAGAAATCATCAAAGAAAGCAGCAACACAAACGGAGAATTCCTACCACTCGTGGGCCACTATGTAAGAATTTTAACAGTGATCACTAAGGTAGGCTGTAACATCTATGGCTTCCCCGATTTTAATAATGCGTTATAACAATTGTAAACAGTGATTAAGTTTTGCAAAAGCTACGTGCTGAATCAGTTAAGAAAAAGTTAGGATGCAAGAGACTGCGGAGAACCTAAAAGATCATGGAGCGTATGCATATAAGAAGCACCAGTAGCAGAATGATACATAAAGTCCGGCGACGATATTTCAAACTTAAGCAAGCTCATGTGAGAAGCAGAAAACCAATCAAGGAGGACACGGTTTAACACACAAGTCCTCTCCCTTAGTCTCACCCACGCCGGGGAGCTGGTGGGGTGGTGTCTGAATAGCAAAGATGTGCGAACAAACCAAATTAGGAAAACTGCAAAGAGTACCTTAGTCTTTCTAGACGCTACAAGAGCCTTCTCACCTTGTCCAAATATTAACCCTGCCAAGAATAAGGCCTGGAAGGAGGCCACGGGGAAGCGGTCTGGGCCGAGGGGAGTTCCATCTGCGAAGACTCCAAGATCAGAGAGCTACTCACCTGTCTCCATAGCGACGGCAGCGGCCATAACAAACGAAGATACCAAAACGCCACCAGCCTGACCGAGCAAAAGCCCAGAGTGGCGGGGGAAGTTCCGGAAACCACGGCTCTCTCTTCCGGTCCCGGGGCACTGTGGGATATGGGGCCGGGCGGCTCCGCCCATCCCCGGCCAGCCCTGGGATGGCTCCACCCGCGCTGGCTCCAAAGTAGCGAGGGGGCGGGGCCCGGGCCGTGGGAGCGCCTGAGGGGCAGGAGCCCAGTGTTTTTAGCCTTCGAAGGACCATGGTGTTTCCACGTCATCGTGTTGTGGCGCTCCCGGCTCTGGCAGTACCGTAGTTTTCCTCTCTTCTGCCTGCGGTGACCGTTGGGCTGGGGGGTGCCCCGAGGCCTCCCTGGCCCCCTCACGCCGGCAGAATGGCCTCAGCCCGAGGGGGCAAGCAGTCTTCTCCCCGGGTGGGGACCACCCGCTACACAGAGACGTCCACAGTCCGCGTGGAGACCTCGTCCCACCGCGTGGAGACGTCGTCCCGGCGGGTGGAGACCTCCCAGCGCCGCAGCGAGGGGCCCTCCCTCTCCCCCTTGGGGAAGCGGCTCCCTGGCATCCACGAGGCGTCCTCCCGGCACGTGGAATCCTCCTCGCAGCGCACGGAAACGACCTCCCGCCACATCAGGGCCTCGTCCCTGAGGGTGGAGACGGCTCTGCACTTCGCGGAGAGCCCAGCCCCGCGGGCCAAGCCGGCCGCCCGCCAGAACGAAAAACCGGCCCGATGAGATGCTGCTTCCCAAAGGCCACCAAGGGGCCAGGGCCCTCAGCCAGGACAGAAAGGCCTCCAGTTGCCAGCCAGCCAGCCAGCTGCCAGGTGGACCAATCATTTTCGGTTTCATGGAAACAAACCATAAATCAATGTAAGAAACAGCCAAGCCGCAGTTTCTGAACACAGCCAACGTTTATTGACCATCCGGCGTCTTGGACCAGCCTACTTTTGACCCAGTGAACTATTTTCACTTGAAGCCAGCACAAAAGATTTTCATGCCCAGGATGCTGTCTAAATCGGCTTGATGGACAAAGAGGCTGTTTGAGCCTCTGAGCCAGGTGAGTTTGGGATCCACAGCCCTCCGAAGACCTTCACCCCTTAGGAACAGAGACCAAACTGAAATCATGACCTGTGGAATGATTCCATGCCTGCTAGCAACTTGAGGGGCAAGGAACAGACTCATAAAACATTAATGGCCTTTGTTTATGTTTCAAAGTAACTGGTGGTTGTCTTTATGCTAAGTCTTTGTACCTGGCACTCCCATCCATACACTTTTTCTAGGTAGGTTAGATGTAGTTAAAAATGACAGTAAACTCACCAGCAAGCAAAAATAATCTTAGAAGAGAGGAGGCCATTGAAACCTGGTCTGAGGTTTGAAGAAGATGGAGAGCAGTCATATTTATTGAGAACCTGCTCTGTGCCAGGTACTAGATACTCCCCCACTTACAATGGGGTTACCTCCCATTAAAACTATTGTAAGTTGAAAATATGGTAATTTGAAAAGGCACTTAATATCCCTAAGCTACTAAACATCATAGCCTAGCCTACCTTAAACATGCTCAGAACACCTAACGTTGAGCAAAATCATCTAACAGAAAGCCCATTTTATAATAAAATGTTGAATATCTCATGTAATTTATTGCATACCATACTAAAAGTGAAAAACAATGGTTGTATGAGGGCTCAAAGTACTATTTCTACTGAATGTCGCTTTTGTACCATTGTAATGTCAAAAAATCATAAGTCAAACCATCTTAAGTTGGGGACTGCCTGTATTCTGGGAACTTGGGCTATAGCAGTAAAAAAAACCAAAGTCCTAGCTGTAGTGGAGCTTACACTCTGGTGAAAAGGCAGACAAGCAATGACGAAACGAGACAATTTTCTATTGTGATTAGCACTATGAAGGAAATATATGGGTCATGTGATAGAGAATGGAAGTAAGGGGCTTCTTTTGATAAAATGGTCGGGGAAGGCCTTGCTGATTAGGTAACATTTAATCTGAGATATGTGTGAATGAACAGTGATCTGGAACATGTGCATTCTAGGCAGAAGAATAGCAAGTACAGAGGGTAGATGGGAACAAGCTCTGAATGTTCAAGGAACAGAAAGAAGGCCAGTGTGGCTGGAGGGAGAGAGAGGCAATTATATAGACACGGAAGCAGAACGGAAGGGAGGAGTTAAAAGCAAGCAGGGGCCAGTCCACAGAAGGTCTTCTAAGCCACAGTAAGGAATTTGAAATTTATTCTAAGGTCAATAGGAAAACATTGAAGGGTTTCCAACAGGGGAATGACATGATGCCATTTACATATTATGTGGGACAGTGGTCCTCAACTAAGTGTGATTTTGTCCTCCAGGGGATATATGGCAACCTCTAGAGACATTTTAGTTTGGTGGACAAGTTGGGGGGTGGGGGGTAGAGGCCAGGGATGCCACCTCATATCCTACAGTGCACAGGTCAACACCCTTCCCTCTGCCAACAATGAAGAATCACTGGTCCCAAAATGTCAATAGTGCCGAGGCTGAGAAACACTGACAGTTCTAGCAGCTTGGAAAGCTAGAGCATGGTCCATTGGGACAGCATGCCACTTCTACATAGCAGGATTGTAGTGAGACGTAAGAAACAGTCATGGAAGAGGGTTGACTTTAAAGGTAAAGAGAAATCATTAAAGAAAACAGCAGCACAAATCGGACACAATACCTACCACTCGTGGGCCACTGTGTAGGAATTTTAACAATGATCACTAAGGTAGGCTGTAACAACTGTGACTTCCCCTATTTTAATAATGCATTGTAACAATTGTTAACAGTGATTAAGTTTCGCAAAAGCTACGTGCTGAGTCAGTTAAGAAAAACTTAGGGGCCGGGCGCGGTGGCTCAAGCCTGTAATCCCAGCACTTTGGGAGGCCGAGACGGGCGGATCACGAGGTCAGGAGATCGAGACCATCCTGGCGAACACGGTGAAACCCCGTCTCTACTAAAAAATACAAAAATTAGCCGGGCGCGGTGGCGGTGCCTGTAGTCCCAGCTACTCGGGAGGCTGAGGCAGGAGAATGGCGTGAACCCGGGAGGCGGAGCTTGCAGTGAGCTGAGATACGGCCACTGCACTCCAGCCTGGGCGACAGAGCGAGACTCCGCCTCAAAAAATAAATAAATAAATAAATAAATAAATAAATAAATAAAAACTTAGGATGCAAACTGAACAAGAGACTCCAAAGAGCCTAAAAGATGATGGAGCATATGCATATGTAAGAAGCACAAGTAGCAGAATGATACACAAGTCTGGCGACGATATTTCAAACGTATGCAAGCTCATATGAGAAGCAGAAAACCAATCAAGGACACGCTTTAAGACACAAGGAGGACATGCTTTAAGACACAAGTCCTCTCCGTTAGTCTCACCCATGCTGGGAAGCTGGTGGGGTCGTGTCTGAATAGCAAAGATGTGCGAACAAACCAAATTAGCAAAACTGCAGAGTACCTTAGCCTTTCGAGATGCTACAAGAGCCTCCTCTCCTCCCTGTCCAAATACTAACCCTGCCGAGAGTGAGGCCTGGAAGGAGGCCCCGGGGAAGCGGAAGAAGCGGTCTGTGCCAAGGAGAATTCTGTCTTCGGAGACTCCAGGCTCAGAGCGCTACTCACCTGTCTCCATGGCGATGGCAGCGGCCATAACAAGCAAAGACACCGAATGGTCACCTGCCCAACAGAGGAAAAGCCTGGAGGGGCGTGAGAAGTTCGGGAAACCACGGCTCCCTCTTCGGGTCCAGGGGCATGGAGGAGTAAGGGGACGGTGGCTCCAGCCAGGCCCACTCAGCCGGCGCTGGCTCCGGAATGGCGAGGGGGCGGTGCCGAGCTGTGGGAGCACCTGTGGGGCAGGAGCCCAGGGAGGCAGAGACTTTTACCCTCAAAAGGAATGAGTCCCAGAGCCTGGCACAAGGAAGACAAGTGTGCAAAGTTGGTGGAATGAATTTCGGTGGCCTAAATGTACCTTCCTGAAATGCCACGGCTGACTGGGTCTCCTCGCCTACTTCACCCTCTCTTGCAATCCAGCTTGTGAGGCGTGTGTATCTGTGTCACTGCGCTTGTCTTTACATGGAGGTTGGCTTCCCAGCCATCCAGGCTTGCATACACGTGCATAAGTCCTACCGCTGCCTCGCCCGCCTGCTGTACCAGGCGTTGGTTCCTTCTTCCTGCCTGTTTTCTGTCCAAATCCTTTTCTGATTTGGACAGAAAACACGCAGGTGGCACACAGTAAGCGCTTAATAAAATTTCCGGCTACCCGAACTCCTTGGAACTGGGGAGATGCTCCTGTGCGCCCCTCACTGCCCAGAGCTCCCTTGTCTGGAAACTCAGCGGTCACCCGAGCGGCCGTGGGTCCTCCCGCTTTCTCTATTTTAAAAAACTGTTTCAACTGCTTGCGCTGTTGGATCTCTGACCTTTCGGGCTTTATCACCTGGGGTGGGGTGGGTGATGAGAGGGAAGGGATGGGGAGTCAAGACAGGAGAGCACTCTCGATTTCCCGACCCACCTCCTGTCATATCTCATGTCATATCTACCCGGTCCTATTACTTCTTTTCTTCCGCGAAACCCCAAATTCCCATCACTGCTCTAGCCCTCTCCCAGATCCCCAAATCTGGATGTGTGTCTCAGGAACGTCAAAGGAACATGCCCGAAAGAGGTCCTCGCCTCTTCCCACCTCCCAGCCCTCACCTCCTGCCTCCCCCGGTGTCTCCCGCGCCTCCTCCCTCGCTTCACCTCCCCCTAAACAAGAATCCGGCGCAGTCAGTTCTAGACCCTGAGCATCTCCCGCATCGCTGGTGAAGGGAGCCAGAAAGAGAGAAAATGCGCACGGAGCAGGTTGCCCCGCGACTCCATGGTGAGGGGACGGGGCACGGAAGGTGGAAAGGCGCTCCCTCTTCCCTTTTTTCCTCCCTGTGGTGGGCAGTTGGTGACACACAGTAAACGCTCAATACATGTTCCCGCTACTCCATCTCCTTGGAATTAAGGGGATGGCCCTGGGCGCCCCTCATTCCACACAGCTCTGGTGTCTGGAAACTGTGGTGGCCGGAGCCGTCGTCGGTCCTCCCGCTTTCTCTGTTTTAAAAGCCATTTCAAACCTCCAGCGGCCTCACCGCCTCTGCTGCAGACCTTCCAAGGCCTTCTGAAGCCAGAATGATTTCTCCCTAATTCACTCCCCCTGCTTAACGCATTCGAATGGCTCCCGCTTGTTCTCGGGACCAAATCCAAAGCCCTTGGCGCCACCTTCGAGAGCCTCTGGACCTGCTGACTCCCCACACCTGGGCTCTGAGCTCCAGCTCCAAGATGCTGCGCGCCCTCCCATCTCCGCTGCTCGCTCTGCCCGGCGCGCCTTTCCCCTGCCTTCCCTTTCTCTCACTCTCCCTGGCTGAGCCCTCTCCGCCTCCAGGTCTCCGGGAAGGTTGTCCCCAGGCCGGTGGGGCCCCTGCAGGTCCTCAGTCTTGGGCGGGGTGGGGGCGGGGGATGGTCGCACAGCGGGAATTGCCACCGGCGCGTCCTGGCTTCACAGCGCGCTCGTCCAAGGCGCGGCGCCGGCCCAGCCCAGCGCTTGGCACAGTCAACGACCACAGGGAGAAGAAAGTGAGAGCAGGTGCGGACCTTCCCACCTGCCCTCCCCGTCCCCGCAGAACTGAGTCCTGAGGCCACCAGCTCGGCGCGGTCCCTCTCTCTCTCTGGCTCAGTCCCCCCACCCCGATACGTCTCCTCCTCTCAGAGCCTCCAAGGAAGGGCGTGGGCTCTGGAGGGAGCAGGGCTCAGCCGGGTGCCCCTCCCGCCCGTCCCCACCGGGGCTGAGCCTCTAATGTCGCCCGCAGGAGACAGAAGTCAAGGTGAAAGAACCGGAGTACCTGGGGCCGCTGCTGTTTGTGAAACTGCGCAAACGGCCCCTCCTTCAGGACGACGCCTGGTTCTGCAGCTGGATCTCCGTGCAGGGCCCCGGAGCCGGGGACGAGGTCAGATTCCCTTGTTACCGCTGGGTGGAGGGCGACGGCGTCCTGAGCCTGCCCGAAGGCACCGGTGAGCGCGGGGCTGGGGGTGTCAGGAGGCCTCTGGGGTGCGAGAGAAGCTGGGGGGATGCGCTTGTGGAGAAGAGAGCGCAGGATGGAGGTGCTGGAACCTGGAGCGCCGGGGTCTTTGGGGGTGTCGAAGGGGCGGTGGCTGCAGCTGGCACAGAGTGGCTGGAGCCTGGGGGAGGGGCGTGATGCTGAGGGGGCAGGGGCCACACAGAAGGACGGGGTGATGAGGCTCTCCTGGCAGGGGCGAGAAGAGGATCTCACCAAAAGTCACTGGCCAAGCCCTCCCCTGTCCTTCTAGGCCGCACTGTGGGCGAAGACCCTCAGGGCCTGTTCCAGAAACACCGGGAAGAGGAGCTGGAAGAGAGAAGGAAGCTGTACCGGTGAGCCCTTCTCCCCTGGCCCCACCTGAGCTGCTGATGCTTCCAGCCCCCAGGCCTTATTTCCTTCCCGCCCCACAGGTGGGGAAACTGGAAGGATGGGTTAATTCTGACTGGCTGGGACGAAACTAAGTGACCTCCCTGTGGATGAGCGATTTCTGGAATACAAGAGAGTTGACTTTGAGGTTTCACTGGCTAAGGGGTGAGAGCAAGGGGAGGCTGGGTGAGAGGGAGGTGTCCTGGTCTAGTGGAAGCCAAGGGGCTTATGGGCTGCACTGCACTGGACTGGCCCAAGATCGGTGCCTGTGGTGGTCATGCTGGAGTCTCAGAATGATGCTCAAACCCTTTGCCCATGGTGGCTCATACCTATAAAGACTGAGGCGGGCAGATCATGACGTTAAGAAATCGAGACCATCCTGGCCAATATGGTGAAAGCCTGTCTCTACTAAAAATAGAAAAATTAGCTGGGCGTCGTGGCCGGCGCCTGTAGTCCTAGCTACTCCGGAGGCTGAGGCAGGAGAATTGCTTGAACCCGGGAGGTGGAGGTGGAGGTTGCAGTGAGCCGAGATTGCGCCACTACACTCCAACCTCGTGACAGAGCGAGACTCCATCTCAAAAATAAAATAAAATAATGTTTTGACTTGCTGGAGCCATCTGAATGACTTCAACTGGATTTTTGGTGTGGCCAGAGCAAGGTGGCTGGTCAGTCCCCTCACCCCAATATGTCTCCCAGGACTCTTACCCCCAGATCCCACCCAACCCAGAGGAACTGAAAGAAGCAGGGTGTGGAGACCAGAGACTGGGGTCCCTCTGGTAGGCTGGTGTCAAGGGGGCATGGTTGGTGGGGTTGGAAGGACCAAGAGCTCAGATCCCACAACTTGCTAAACAACTGCCTTCCCCAGAGCGCGTGCGGGACTCCTGGAAGGAAGATGCCTTATTTGGGTACCAGTTTCTTAATGGCACCAACCCCATGGTGCTGAGGCGCTCTGCTCACCTTCCTGCCCGCCTTGTGTTCCCTCCAGGCATGGAGGAACTGCAGGCCCAGCTGGAGAAGGAGCTAAAGGTATGGACATCAGAGCCCTGAGGAGGCTCAGCAGTGAAGCAGGGTGGGCTAGTGTCAGTGATGCTGCTGCGGGACCCACTCTGGGCCGGGCTTGCTGCCAGCCAGCAAGGAGGGATTCTGCAGGAGAGGTGCTGAGGGATCCTGGAGAAGCTCAGCGGCTCGGCCTCCTTCCCACATGAGACTAGCTGCGGAGGGAGGGCATGCAAGGTGGAATGGTTGATAGAAACAGGGTCAAATGAAGAAACATAACTGGCCCTTGGTGCTAGGGATTCAGGGAGTGTGCAGAGTAAGAGAATCAGGGTCAGAGTGCTGTGGCTGTTAATCAAGAGGCGACATGGAACAACAGAGAGGAAATTCATGGGACTACAGGGCAGATAGGCTTGGATGTGAATCCTGGTTCTGCTATTTGTAAGCTGTGTGACCTCAGCAAAATACCCAACCTCTCTGATTATCTGTTTCCTCCTCTGTGCAATTGAGGCTCATTCAACTATGTATAAAAATTATAAGGCTGGGCACAGTGGCTTGCACCTGTAATTCCAGCACTTTGGGAGGTCGAGGCGGGAGGATCACCTGAGCCCAGAAGTTGGAGGCCAGCCTAGGCAACGTGGTGAAACCCTGTCTCTACAAAAATACAAAAATTAGCATCTGTAATTTTTGGTGTAGTGGCATGCACCTGTAGTCCCATCTGTTTGGAGGCTGAGGTGGGAGGATCACCTGGGCCCAAGGAAGTCAAGGCTGTAGTGAGCCGTGGTGATCCTGCCACGGCACTCCAGCCTGGGCAACAGAGTAAGACCCTGATTCAAAACAACAACAACAAAAATGATATGAGGCAATAAGAACATGATCCATTACCTGGAAAAAGTAGGTGATGGAGACAAGTTAGCTCCTCTCTCTCTCTCTGCCCCCTTGGAGGAATCAGAGTAGGAAGAAGATACTTTATGCTGATAGCAGCCCTTGACCTCTTCCCCCACCCAGGGAGGCACACTGTTTGAAGCTGACTTCTCCCTGCTGGATGGGATCAAGGCCAACATTATTCTCTGTAGCCAGCAGCACATGGCTGCCCCTCTGGTCATGCTGAAACTGCAACCTGATGGGAAACTCTTGCCCATGGTCATCCAGGTGAGAGGACTCAGGATTTCTGCTCCCAGTCTCCAGCCTTCTTAGCTCAGCCCCTTATCGAAATTCACTGAGCACCATCTGCAAAGGCGCTGGGCTAGAGCACCGGGGAGACCCCAAAGGAGGAAATGCGCCAAGTCTCTGATTCAAAGGCCTTGCAGTGTAGCTGGAGAGACACTTGGGGCCAGTCTGCAGAAGCTCTGGGACTGAAGAAGTGGACAGAGACAGCCCAGGAGGGATCAGGGGAGGTGGGATGTCATGAGCCTTGGAGGAGGGCCAGGTCTCAGACAAGCAGGAGGGAGAGGAAGGACTGGTCCTCAGGGGCAAGACAGACTGGGCAGAGGCTGAGGTAGAGGAGTCAGGAGATTCCTAGGGGACAGTTGGACCAGAGGCCGGACTAAGCCAGGCTAAGGATTATGAGGTGGGAAACTGGAGAAGGCTGTGATGAAACGTGCTGTGGGCACGCGGTGTGGGCAGTGGTGTTCAGGGTGCATTGGAGAGGGGAGATGCTAGAAACAGGGACTGGGGCAATGTGCTCCAGCACTGACCCAGGAGGAGGGGAGCTCGGATGTGGGTGGTGATCGTCGGGATGGAGAGGACAGGTGGATGCGAGTGCAGAGGGAGAGCAAGGAGAGGGGAAAGCGGAGCCAGGCCAGCTGCCTGCAGAAATAGCACCAATAGAGAGAACAGGGTGCCCCGGTAGACTTTTGTCTGGCCAATGTTGAGGTAATGGAAGACATTTAAATTGTCCAGCAGGCAGCTGAGAACGAGATTCGGTCATTTGTGTAGAGGTGGGGCCAAAAGATGAGATTTCGAAAAAACGGTGTGGGACGAAGGAAGCAGCCGGTTTGAATCTTGTTCACACTGCAGGGACTGAAAGGGGAAGTGGAGGCTGGAGGAGGCACCAGAAGAGCAGTTTCTGCAGAATGCTGGAGGCAAAGCAGCTTGCAGGGTGCTAATGCACCGAGCGGGTAGGAAGGGGAGGGGAGGAAATGGGAGCTGTAGGGAGCCGCAGCAGTGAGATGGGGAAAGCAAAACACGTTTGGAGGATGAACGGCAAGGTTAACATGCAAGGGGGGGCGGGAATCGCTGCGTGCCCCGCACTCATGCCTTCTCTCCCCACACCTTGTCCCTGCTCCAGCTCCAACTGCCAGCACAGGATCCCCACCATCTCCCCTTTTCTTGCCCATAGATCTTCCAATGGTCTGGCTTCTAGCCAGATGCTGGGTCCTCAGCTCTGGCTTCCAGCTCCATGAGCTGCAGTCTCATCTTCTGAGGGGATGCTTGATGGCTGAGGTCATTGCTGTGGCCACCATGAGGTGCCTGCCATCGATACATCCTATCTTCAAGGTAACACCTTATCCCCTTCTCTCCTGTATTCAGCTGAATACTTGATTTCTCTAGAGTTCTCTTTCTGTACAACACCCTCAATTTCAGCATACTGCCCTGTGTATTCTGGCTGTATTGGCCTCCCAGTACTGCCAGCTCTGTCTCCTTAACTCAGGAAGATTATAGGACTTTGCCAGGGTTGCTCCTCCCTACTCTGCAGCTGGAAAGCTTTCTCCAGGCAGTAAGCTGGGGCAATTATGGGGCCCGCTTTTGTCTGTTTCTTCAGTTACTTCAGGCAAGAGGGTAAATCCAGCTCCTTACTTCAGTCCAGCTGGAGGTCTCCTCATTATTTTATATACATTTTGTGGAAGATTAACTTTACAATTTAGTTTTTAGATAACAATATTCAGACAGGACGGCAACTCCATTTATGGACTAATTATCATAGCTCAGAGATGAATATTACTACTTTCTTCCAGAGATGGATGCAGTGACTTTTGCGACTTTGTGTGTCTCTTTTCTCAAGGAGAGACGAATAGCATCTTCATTTCTATGAAGAATAGTTGCATTGTGTTAGATAGAAAAGAACATTTTATTTTATTTTATTTTAGAAACAGTCTCACTCTCTCATCCAGGCTGGAGTGCAGTGGCACGACCTTGGCTCACTGCAACCTCCATCTCCCAGGCTCAAGAAATTGTCCTGCCTCAGCCTTCCAAGTAGCTGAGATTACAGGCATGTGCCACCACGCCTGGTTAATTTTTTGTATTTTTAGTAGAGACGGGATTTCACCATGTTGGCCAGACTGGTCTCGAACTCGTGACTTCAGGTAATCTGCCCGTCTCTCTTGCTCCCCTCTCTCTTGCTCCTTTGCTCTCTCCCTATGATGCCCTATGATGCCTGCTCCCCTTTGCCTTCTACCATGAGTAGAAGCTCCCTGAAGCCCTCGCCAGAAGCAGAGGATGGTGCCATGCTTCTTGTACAGCCTGTAGAACTGTGAACCAAATAAATCTGTTTTCTTTACAAATAATCCAGCCTCGTGTGTTCCTTTATAGCAACGCAAAATAGACTAAGTCCCGATGTACATAAAGTATGCGTCATAAATAAGATCTCCAAAAATAAGAATGTGTATGACCTGGGAAGATCTCAGAATGGCTCTGTCAAGGTGTCTCTACCCTGATATCCGGGCTCCGAGGGGATGATCGTGTGGAGCCTTCTCTCTAAAAGTCCTAAGACTGATAGATTCAGCACAGCATTTGGCCAGGAGCGGCCTAAGACAATACATTTCTTTTTTTAAACTTTATTGTTTTGAGATGGAGTCTTGCTTTGTCGCCCAGACTGGAGTGCAATGGAACCATCTCGGCTCACTGCAACCTCCTCCTCCTGGATTCAAGCAATTCTCTTGCCTCAGCCTCCCAAGTAGCTGAGATTACAGGCGCACGCCATCACACCCAGCTAATTTTTTTTTTTTTTTTTTTTTGGTATTTTTAGTAGAAACGGGATTTCACAGTGTTGGCCAGGCTGGTCTCGAACTCCTGACCTCAGGTGATCTGCGTGCCTCGGCTTCCCAAAGTGCTGGGATTACAGGTGTGAGCCACTGCCCCAGCCTGTTTCTTCCCATTGACTGAGAAATTACTCTGATGAGTAGGTGGCCTCAGATAAGTGAATTCATCTCACTGGACCTTACCGTCCCCACTGTAAAATGAGGTGTTTGGACACATCTCCTAATCTGTGATTCCCAAAGTGAGAAATGCAGGCCACTGCTGGTGTGCAAGGTAATGTTTACTGATATAGAAAAAAACTTTTTTTTTTTTTTTTAAACAGAGTTTTGCTCTGTCTCCCAGGCTGGAGTGCAATAGTGCGATCTCCACTTACTGCAACCTTCGCCTCCTAGGTTCATGCGATTCTCCAGTCTCAGCTTCCCGAGTAGCTGGAATTACAGGTACCTGCCACCATAGTCGGCTAATTTTTGTATTTTTAGTAGAGATGGGGTTTCACCATGTTGGCCAGGTGGGTCTCTAACTCCTGACCTCAGGTGATCCGCCCATCTTGGCTTCCCAAAGTGCTGGATTACAAGTGTGAGCCACCGAGCCTGGCCGAACATTTTGTATATTGATAGTTAAATGTTTAATTTAGTGTGCATCAGGAAAAAAATATAACTGGCCCTCAAACTTGTCATTTTTCCTAGTTTTTTTTTTTTACTTAGGCTATTTTGAGCATTTAAAAATGTTTAAGTGAATTGATTTAAAGAGAAGAGGCTAATTACATGAACAGTTGACCTTGAAGGTGGCTAAAATTTCCAAAGTGGTGTGGTACACACTGACGTTCGGGAAACTATTGTACTAGTTTAGTATACTAAATTGATGTTTCCAAATCCCAGAAAACCTGAGGGTGTTATATCAGTTTAGTGGATTGCAACATTTTTTAATTAAATAAAATATAAAAATACAGAAAATATCAGAGGGCTCACACATAGTAAGGGTAATTTTTTTTTCGTGCTCTTGTCGCTCAGGCTGGAGTGCAATGGCACAATCTCAGCTCACTGCAACCTCTGCCTTCCAGGTTCAAGCAATCCTCCTGCCTTAACCTCCCGAGTAGCTGGGATTACAGGCGCACACCACCACATCCGGCTAATTTTTGTATCTTTAGTAGAGACCATGTTGGCCAGGCTGGTCTCAAACTCCTGACCTCAGGTGATCCATCTGCCTCGGTCTCCCAAAGTGCTGGGATTACAGGTGTGAGCCACGGCGCCTGGTTGGTAAAAATTATTTTGTGAAACTTTTTTGTTTGGAATCACAGTGTAAAATATATTTCTGGGAGTCATGGTCAAAAGAGTTGGAGAAAAGTGCATCTCTAAGGTCTCTCCCGATTAATGAGTGCCCCCTCTTGAGTTCCTGGCCATCTGTCAAGCGTGTGCCATGACAGACAATGTACAGTAGAGGGCAGACAATCCCCACACAGCAGCAAAGGCTGGACTTTGGAGGAGTTGGAAACCGCAGGGGAATGCCAAGCAGGACAGAAGCCTGAAGCCAGGCCTGAAGCTTCTGAAAGAGACAGGGTACAAGTACCCCGTCCTCCTGGGCATCACAGCACTCTCTGTGTGATATGACTGCAGCCACTTTCCAGTTGCCATTCACAGGCTGGATCCTTGTCTTTGGATATTTTTCACCTCCCTGGGAATACTTCAGGTGTCTAGTTAGTTAGTCTAGTTACATTTTTCTTTCTTTCTTTCTTTCTTTTTTGAGATGGAGTTTCACTATTGTTGCTCAGGCTGGAGTGCAGTGGCGCAATCTCGGCTCACTGCAACCTCCACCTCCCAGGTTCAAGCGATTCTCCTGCCTCGGCCTCCTGAGTAGCTGGGATTACAGGCGTGCGCCACGACGTCCGGCTAACTTTTCGTAGTTTTAGTAGAGACGGGGTTTCGCCATGTTGGCCAGGCTGGTCTCAAACTCCTGACCTCAAGGGATCCACCTGCCTCAGCCTCCCGAAGTATGGGATTACAGGTGTGAGCCACCACGCCCGGCCGTGTCTAGTTACTTTTAAACCAAGGTCCTGTAAAACCATCTTCGTCCTGTCGCCCAGTCTGGAGTGCAATGGGGTGATCTCAGCTCATTGCAACCTCCACCTCCCAGATTCAAGCGATTCTCCTGCCTCAGCCCCCTCGAGTAGCTGGGACTACAGGTGTGCGCCACCACGCCCGGCTAATTTTTGTATTTTGAGTAGAGACAGGGTTTCGCCATGTTGGCCAGGCTGGTCTCGAACGCCTGACCTCAGGCGATTCACCTGCCTCAGACTCCCAAAGTGCAAAGGGATTACAGATGTGAGCCACTGCACCTGGCCTGAAGCTTTAATATTGAAGAGCAGCGAACACACACTGAGCTCTCAGTCTCCCCCAGGCACTGTTGGCAGCACTCTACATGTACTGACTCATGCACTCCTCGCACCTAGAAGAGGTAGGTCAGGACGCTGGGGATTGAGAAAGTTAGGTGACTTACCCAGCATTCCTGGCTGGGAAGAAGCAGAGCCAGGACGCAAACCCAGGCCAGCTGGCTCCAGAGCTTATACTCTTAACCACCAGCCACTGTTGGTACAAGAGGAATAAATGCCTAGTCTTCTACCTACTGTATCTACTTCTAAGGATACTGAGGGTGTGATGTGGTTAGGAGAAACCCTGGAGGCCATCGGAAGAGCAGGGGATATTCAAGCCTAAGACAGGAAGAATGCGTAGACACCATACTGCTATCTGAAGGGCTGTCTTTGTCAGAGGCAGCCTCAAGAGCAGAACTAGAATCAAATGGTGAAAAGCTAGGAGGATTTCGGTTCAGAAAAAAAAAAAAAAAAGACTTTTAAAAATGTACTATAAAATCTGACCGGGCACGATGGCTCACGCTTGTAATCCCAGCACTTTGGGAGGCTGAGGCGGGTGGATCACGAGGTCAGGAGTTCAAGACCAGCTGGCCAAGATGGTGAAACCCCATGTCTACTAAAAATACAAAAATTAGCCGGGTACAGTGGCAGCCGCCTGTAATCCCAGCTGCTCAGGAGGCTGAGGCAGAAGAATTGCTTGAGCCCGGGGGACGGAGGTTGCAGTGAGCCGAGATCGCACCACTGCACTCCAGCCTGGGTGACAGAGTGAGACTTCATAAAAAAAAAAAAAAAAAAAAATCTTTATTCTACAGGCAAACATAGGAAACCATATCTATCAAAGCCTCATTGAAACCCCAACACCGTGCCACGTCTGCGTCAGATCTCCAGGGAAACCATTCTCACAGTTGAGGCAGCCCTGTGATGGTGAGCTCTCTGTCTTCCTAGCAAGAGCAGACAAACGCCGGGCACCCACTGCGGGGGCAGGTGCCACAGAGGACATTTAGCTTGGTGTTGGACAGGAAACCTGGGGGTCCCAGGTAGCCCGAGTTTGAAGGGGTGGGAAGGAAGCAGTGGGAAGTCCCTGGGTCACAGCTTCCTCCTTAGAGTCTTTAGCTTTTCCCTCTCCTCCTGGTCCCTTGCCTAGGTCAACAAAAACGTCTCATCTCCCCTCTGCCCTAACTGGACTGCCTTTTCTCTGCCTGTTGCCCAACCCTGCGCACCCTAAGCCATAGTTCATTTTATTTCCCAGGCTCTTCAAAAAGCGTCTACACTCGCTGCTCACGCATCCCCGTCCTGATCATTTTACCCTGTCCTTGCACTGCAGCCTCACCACATCTGTCCTTCCCATTGTAACTTCTTGCAGTTTCCCGTTCTCAATCCAATGGCTTCTTCTCAACCCCCAATCTCTCTGACCTTTCTATAGCATTTGGCTCTGGGGAAAATTCCCTCCTCCTCAAAAGTTTTTCCTCTGTTTTTCTCCATAAGCCTGAACTCTCTCTCCCTTTCCCCCACACCCAGCAAATGTTAATGGTCCCCAGAATTCTTTCCTCTGCCTTAGCCACTGCCTGACTGCGGATATCCCTTTCGCCCAGGCCTCTGTCCTGAGCACCAACCTCTCATGGGCTCAGCATCTTGTTCTGGATTAATTAGTTTCGTCGTCGTCGTCGTCGTCGTCGTCGTTGTTGTTGTTGTTTTGAGATGGAGTCTCACACTGTCGCCCAGGCTGGAGTGCAATGACGCCATCTCGCCCACTGCAACCTCAGCCTCTCAAGTTCACGCGATTCTCCTGCC